GCAAGCATATCCAGAACTCTGACACCGCAGGGCCTTGTTTCCCATGTCCCAGTTCCCCCCTTCTTAGCAGGCATAATTATCCCGGAAGTGCCCGCCCTTGGTCCCACCCCTGACAGTTTATGGTCATGCTCCGTTTTGGGGGCTTGTGAGTCTGCGAGCTTCGGCGCCATCTCTTTTGTATCCCATGGCAGGGGTAAGGAGTGAGGTGGTGTTTCGGGCAGGAACAGGCATTTCTTTGGCTTTGAGTGTTTCTTATGCCTCCCCCTGGCCCCTCCTAACTGGTTGCTTAACCTTGGCTTGAGAGAGAAGCCAGGCAGCCTTCCAGCGTACGCTTGTATATTACACTCCCACCATACCCAGGAACATTTTAGGTCTGTTTCTTATTTTTTTTTCTCATTATATTAACAAATCCATCTGGCTGGGCAGAAGCAACACACAGCGTCTTTGTTCACACATTAGTAAGGCTATAAGAGTATCAAAAATTAAAGCCAAAATTCTCTCTCAGGCTAACAAACAGGCCTATATACTAACAAACCCCCTGCTGCTGTCCCAGCCTGGGGCTCCCTCCCTCGCTCTATCAATGCACCCACTCCTAGTGGCCTCCCTTAGATGCTGAATGGGAGACCAGATGGAGCTTCAGGGCCTCCGTAGCAGAGGACTCCCATAAAAGACAGACTGATCAGAAAGCACTTTACAAAGGATGTCAAGCTCATTATCCCCATTTTACAGAAGGGGAAACTGAGGCACAGAGACTCATAAAATATCAGGGTTGGAAGGGACCTCAGGAGATCATCTAGTTCAACCCTCTGCTTAAAGCAGGACCAATCCCCAGACAGATTTTTGCCCCAGATCCATAAATAGCCCCCTTGAGAATTGAACTCACAACCCTGGGTTTAGCAGGCCAATGCTCAAACCACTGAGCTATCCCTTGCCCCTTGCCCAAGATCACCCAGCAGGGCAGTGACAGATCCAGGACTAGAACGCAGGTCTCCAGCATCCCCCAGCAGGTCTCCAGCTACTAGGCCACACTGCCTGCATGGGTCACCCTCTCCCTGGCCCAGGAGAGACCACCCATCCATGGAACCTCATGCATAGGCTATGGGAGATCACCCACCAATGGCCCAGCCCCCAGAGGAGCCTAGGCTAGGGCATTACTCGAACCCTGCTCTAACTTGGATTCTTGTTGGGCAGGCCTCGAAGGACAATGGACAACCTGCAGCCCTGGCAGCGTGGCAATGAAAATGAAAGGGTGACAAGCAGCAGGGTTAATACATCACTGGAATGGGTATTTGCCGGCTCATTGTCCCTCCGGCCTGGGCTGCGCCTTTCCACGGCTTTCAGCACATACACAAATAAAGAGCTCATGTTTATATAGGACCACGAGCGTGCTGGCACGTCACAGACAACTGGGCAAGCAGGGCACAGGATTGGGACCCAGCAGAGACCTGGGCTCTGTTCCCCGCGTGGGCACAGATCTGCTGCGTGACCCTGGGGAAGACACTTCCCCCTCTCTGCGCCTGTCTCCACTCCCACCGTGTCTGTCCTCTGTTTAGCTGGGGAGCTCTTCAGAGCAGGGCTGTACAATACCCAGCACAAGGGGGCTCTGAGCTTGGGCCGGGCCTCTAGGTCCCTGCTCCAAGGAGCTTAGGGTCAGAAATCAACAGGACTACTCCAGGAGTAAGGCACAACTCAAGGGGAGCAAGAAGATTGGGCACAGGCTCAGTCTGAATAGACAATGTTGGGAGACGACGTCCCAGCATTTCACTCCCCTCAAGCCACCCCAGCTACAGGAAAGCCAGCGGGATTCTCTTCCTCCTTGCACATCAGCAGCTCACTCGCTTGCTGCGGTCCCATCAGGGAAGGCAACATTTGGGGTGCAGCAACTTGATTCCTGGGGATGATGTGAGAAGGAAAGAGCCCAGCTTGGCTCTCAGCTTCGGGGGGCGGGACGTGTTAGGGAAAGAATCTTTTGACTTGTCAAGTGAGTATTGGAGACAAACATGGACACGGACTCGCCTCGGGGCAGAGCCACCCTTTAAAGAGGGGCTGGAGGCTCAGCAGACCAATCCGGGGGAGGATGCTCCAATCTAGCACCGGAGGCAGCGTGGAAGGACCCAGATGGTGACAGCAAGACCCGGCTACTTGTCTTCCAGCTCTAGCCCCTGCTCCTGCTGTTGGCTCCGCTAGCGAGCACCCCAGTGGGGCCCGGGGTGGGATCCGGGCCATACCCATCGCACAATGGAAAGAAGCTGCGAGTGCTTTAACACTGAGGTTGAGCGGTTCACCCCCCTCCACAAAGGACACAGCAGAGGCACGGCTGGGGAGCGCAGCTTAGCCGGGAGTTCACGATTAACGATTAGTTACACATTATGGTCCTGCTCCCGGCTCCTTGGCTCAGAGGATCACGAGTGGAAGGAAGCGTCCCCTAAGGAGAAGCGCCTGGGGAACAGTTACATGCCAAGTGTTGGAGCAACAGCTCGTTGCGGACAGAGCCCGCGGCCGATGAATGGGCTGGAGGTTTTTTTCAATAAAACAGCTGGTTCGCTTGGTGTTTGTGGTTTTGGCAAAATCCCAAGCTGAGCTCCCTTCCCCCTGCTGATTTCTCACTGGAAGGCAGAGCCCTTGCGGCTGAGAGATCAGGCTTCGAAAGGTCACACACACCCACTCACCGTCGAGTGAACCCGCTCAGCTTTCCAAGCCAGGAGGGTGCCGGGTGAGCCCAGCCCCAGGGAAGGGAGTTGAATTTTGTATCACCCAAGTGAAGCTAGAGCCTTAGATTCCAGCCAGGCGCGAGAGGAGATGCTGCCAAGTGCAAAAGCCGGAGGTCTAAAATTAACAAACCCAGCAGGGTGCGGAGTCTCCAGAGGGACAGTAGGTTAAAGTTCAACTCCCCTTTTCCGCTCAGCCCAAACTTCTGATCCCGTGTAAGTAACGTCTGATGGCCTTTGTTAAACATTTTATTGTAACTTTACCCCAATAACAAGTTGTTGTTTTTTAAAGTAGGTGCCTTAAATGCAGAGGGAAAAACTATATTAGTTTGGATCCGTCTCATTGAGTGGTTGGATCAGGTAGTTGGGAATCAGGACTCCTGGGTCCTATGCCCAGTTCTGGGAAGGTTAAAGCAGGGGGTTGCTGGGGTCTGATTCTATTCCCAGCTCGTGGTCATGTTTTAGGTCCCTGGGCAAATCTTAACTTCGCTGGCTCAGTTTCCACAACTGTAAAATGGGGATAATATAATATGACCTACCTGATAGGGGCATTATGGGTTTTAATCCATGTTGGTAAAGAGGCTGGAGGTGAACATAGGAATATTAAACCTCAGCTTGTAGCTGAGAAAAAATGTAGGCGACAGAGTCCAATTTGGGTGAAAGGAGAGGAACCCCCGATAGAAACGAAAGGGAGCACAGCCGGGGTGGGGCAAGTCGGGGGGGATCCCCTGGAAGGGACGCGCATGCTGCAACAGCAACAGTAGGTGGTGCTAGCAGGCACCAATCCTGCACTGAGTGCAAGGCCTCTGGCTGGAGTGGCCATGTGACACCTACCCCTACGCTGCCAGCTTTTGTTTGATCGTGAATCAGCCGGAGCCAGGTCTGTCCATAACCACAACCCTTCTTGTGGAAGAAGTTCCCCGGCGGGGGGTTTTACTTGGCCGGTTCTTAGGATTCTCGGTTGGCTGCATTCAGGGGCTCGAACACAGGTAGTTTCCATCATGTATTTTGTGGGGCTTGGGAGCTCTTGTGCCACCATTTGGGCAGGGATAGCTCAGTGGTTTGAGCATTGGCCTGCTAAACCCAGGGTTGGAAGTTCAATCCTTGAGGGGGCCATTTAGGGATCTGGGGCAAAATCAGTACTTGGTCCTGCTAGTGAAGGCAGGGGGCTGGACTCGATGACCTTTCAGGGTCCCTTCCAGTTCTAGGAGAGGGGATATCTCCTTTGCACCTAAGCCACATTCTGATTGATCCACAGCTGGTGGACTAAAGAGCAGACACGACAGCTGCAGGGGGCACCCGGGGGCACATCTAGCCTTGGCCAAAAGGGCCTTGTCAATAGAAAGGCTTTTATAGACTAGTCAAGACAGTTGGACATGCCCAGATTCCCTAGAAGCAAGAGTTTGAATCCCAGCAGGGGTATCTTAGCTTAGTTTGTCATCCTCCAAGGCAGAGTTCCATGCAGGGCAGACATGAAATTTGCAGAGGTCCAACCTGTGCAGTGTGGCTGTTAGAGAGCCTTGCAACTTCCTCCTCAAGAGGGTTTGCTCAGTGTCCTTGAACAGCCTCTGCCAGCGTTGTGCATTGCACTGGCTCGCTGCCATGCTCCACACCAGAGGTAGCTGCATTTTAGTGATGCCAGGGGGGTATAACATGTGAAGCATCCTGGGATCTATGGGATGAGTGGCACCATCTGAATTCAGAATTACAACTACTTTCCAGAGAGAAAGGAGTAGGGGGAAGAAGAGACACTGGCGGGGGTAGATTTAGGGAACCAGTTCTGGCTACAGAACGGCCTCCTCTTTCTCTGTGTTGACCTGCTGGAGAGCCAAGCTCCTGCATGTGCAGATGCTTCTTCAAACTTCTTGGGTTGGCCAAACCGGGCTGGAAGTTCACGGTGCGATTCCTGGGTCCCCGTGAGCACGGCAGAAGTGCAGTCAAGGCATCACGGGTTCTGTGGGGCCTTGTAGAAAATGACCCTGCAGCTGTGATTGGATCCTCCCCCTCCTCTAAGCTCCCTCGTGCCAGCCTGCGGACAAAGCCAGCCCGGCTCTGAGGTGCCAGAGCTTCTGGCGAGACACCCCGAGCCTGGCGGTGGAGCAGGAAAGGTACTTGGGGAACTCCCCCCACTATGGGTCTGCTGGCAGGGAATCGGGGGAGGTGCTGTGCCCGTGTGTGGGGAGCAGGGACCCCAGCAGAACAGATCTGTGTATGACTGCCCAGGCCTAAGGCTGCATGTCACTGATCAGCCCCACCCCCGCAGGAAGGAGCGCCAGACAGCTAAGAAAAAAATAAAACAACAGTGAAAGATTTTATTACTACCTGTCATCACATCCCCAAGCCAGCAGGGCCCTGGCTCATAGGCCCCTGTATGGTGTGCAGTGAGGGACAGGCCTCGGCCCGTCTGCTGCACTAATCTATGAAATGGACGTAGTTCCTTGGCAGAAAAGATCCTCCCCGCCTGGAGCCTGCTCTGGTTGGAGGTGGGGGAAAAGGCAGAGCCGGCGGGGGGCTGCCCCAAGCCAACGGCTCTGAGAGCTGCAGTGGGTGCGGTTTACAGCCAGGGCCGAGTGTGGCCTTCACACCGTGCTTTGGGCACCCCCAAATTACCTACATCCCCCAGGAAAGGGCTCCCGTTGCTCGCCGGGCCTGGAGGAGCGGCTCCAGGAGCTGCCTGGCAAGCAACTGCAAACAGCTCTCTAATCCAACCCAATGTCCCATGCAGCCCGCCTGGCAGGCGTTCCCTGGCCGGGGGTCTTCAGGAGGAGCACGTGGCTTCCCACTGCCGGAAGATCCGGAACACCTTGCAGGATTTTACCGAGATGCTCTGCAACAAGAAGGAAACAAGGGGACAATCAGAGATTGAGTCACTCCAGCGGGGAGTCGCACCCCAATCATAGAATCTCAGGAGGTCATCTAGTCCCACCCCCTGCTCAAAGCAGGACCAACTCCAACTAAATCCCCAAATGGCCTCCTCAGGACTGAACTCACAACCCTGGGTTTAGCAGGCCAGTGCTCAAACCACTGAAATATTCCTGCCCCCCCAATGGCCCAGCTGGGGGGTTCCCTCTAAAGCCCCAGGAGAGAGGACAGGCAGCGAAAGTGCAGGACAGAACCACTGGACGTTCATCCCAGGGTCACACTTGCTTTACAGACACTAGCCCTTATTACATAATCCCATTTTACTGAAGGGGAAACTGAGACACGGAATGGGGGAGTGACAGAGTTAGAGCCAGAAATAGAACTGAGATCTCCTGATTCCCAGGCCTGGGCTCCAGCCTACGCTTGTTCTAGCATCCTGATAAATTATCTGTCAAACTCTACCAGCTTCCAGAGGCTTGCCCAGACGGCAGCTGTACGTGGCACATCTGGGACAGACACCCAGCTATCCTGTCCGTGATATAAATCACTTGAATCTTCAACGACAAATGCTGAAACCCCCACCCCACCCCACCTCCCGAGTTAGAACAAAGGTCATTCTCCAACACAAGAGGTCTGGGGGAGTAAAACTGACAAACAACGCCTCGCTTTCGGGGTAGCTCGGGCCAGTTTTGGCTAAGATAGAGGTGGTGATGTCAAAATCAGGCTTATAATGGGAAGCTAGGTTCACCCTTCTCTATAGAGACTAGCATCTCTCCATAGCTATGCTGACAGTCCCTCTCTGACATGGTGTATTTATATACGCATGTGTGCTGCATACGGGGTCGCTATAAATATCTTCAGCACCTTCTACACTTGCCAGGCTTTGGTTTCACGTTCACTTTCCCCCTGGATAGACAGACTCACCAGACTCCAGCTGTGGAAGTTACTAGCAGCTTCAGGTAATTTTTCCCTTACAGAGCTGGGGCAGTTTGAGTCAGTGGGTTTGTGGAGCTGGAAAGTGGAGGACGCTCCAGCTGTTTCTGAATGGGCACGTAGACGACAGGCAGCATGCGTCAGGACTACTAGCGATCCAAACCCTTTCTGGCAGATCAGAACCAAGCTGCCCCAAATTTTGTACGTAGGATCTCAGCCCAAGGTAGAATTTTAAGGCCAAGTTTGAAGCAAACTAGAGTAGGCCTTCGGGAGATCGGGGGGTTCAAAGATTGAGGTGGGTTTCAGCTCTCACCACAAGCTCTGCGTCAGCTGCTCTGTTTGATTTCCTGGCGGCCAGGAGAACATTCAGCACCACCCGCCAGCCAGGCTCCGCCTTCCCAGATGTCAGCTCCGACTGGTCGCCGGTGTCCTCTGAGACGGCCTTCTCCTGCACTGGGTTGACCCAAGGGCACCAGTCGCGGTGTTGAGAGCTGGGATCGAAGAAGCTTCTGGTGGAAGTGTCCTGCAGGGAGAGGAGAGGAGAATGGGTCTAAACCAGGGAGGGGAGTGACGACTTGTTTTAAAGAGACGTTATTAACAATAATACAGTCAGACACTGATTTAAAATCACCCCCAACTCCAGCCTCCAAAGCCTCACTGGGGAGCCTCTCCAGGGCAGCAGAGAACAGGACATGGGTGTCATTCATCTCCAGGGTTGTCTGGGGAAGGGTAGGTTCCATCCTGCAGCCCAGGACTGTCCCAGGGGAAAGTATCTGACAACTGCCAGTGAAAGAAGCCAATTCAGTGGACCCTGCAGCAGCCCTCTCAAATCTCCCATTAGTGCCCCTGAGTTGCAGGGGCCGTCTTTAGAGTGATTCCGTGGACCCTCCGTTGAGGCTTAAAGGAGCAAATTCACCGCGATGATGGTGCTTTGATAAGGCGATACCTGTCCCACCACCAAGGACACCGCTCCATGACCCTGATTCGTTACACGAAGGCCACCACGCAGCTGCCAGAGGGAAGCGACTTCCCATCACAACCAGGCCCATCTGGATTCAAACCCACAACCCAGAGGTGTGAAAGGCCCCACATCCCATTACCTTCCTTCCGATCCCTCCTGGGCCTGCAAAAGGATCTGACTTTGCCAGATTTGAGAAGAGGCAAAAGGTGTAATTTCCCCAAACTGGATAGAAAGATAGAAACTAACCGGAGGGAGAGAGTGTGTGTGTGGTGTGTGTGTGGTGGGGGGGGGGGTGATGTTCTCTCCGCTTCAGGGGATGGAGCCAGGACAGAGCAACACATGGTTGAGGAAGCAAGTTGCAAAGACTTTGCTAGCAGCAGGGAAAACCTGACCTGGATTCTTGAGAGAGTGGCAAATTCTCTCAGTCGTTCTCCCTGGCGCGTGGCCAGGCACTCACCGAACTACTGGAAGAGCAGAGGCGCGCCCGCTTGGCTCTCCTGTGAGGGCTGGATGGCACCTCCACGCTGTCCCCCTGCCCCATGCTGCGGGTCACCGGGCGGCTCCTCGGCGACGGGCTTGATGCCTCCGGCTCGGCCCGGTCCATGGGGCTCGAGCCATCCCAGCTCCGCATACGGGCTGTCACGGGGGATGGGCTCTTCTCGTGCTACCAGTGGGTAGGAGAGGGAGGGGAAAGTTAGCTCTTGATGGACAGCACTAGCTAGCAGAGTTCTTATGGTCACCAGCACTTCCTCAGCTGCTGGAGGAAGGGACCTGCACTCGAAGCACAGCAGATCCTCATGCCTATTACTACTCACGCCCCAGCTCGAAAGCCTGGGTAGGCGCTGTAGGGAGCAGATCCAGGGCGAGTGACTGGCACATCACTTACTTCTCTCCCCCAGTCCAACCGATCCATACACAGTCAGTCCTACCCAAGCGCAGCCTGACGAGACCCTACGCTTTTGGGGAGAGCTTTGTTCTGAGAGCACCTTCCCAGGGCTGGCCCCAGACAACCAGCCTGAAAATACCCATGTGGGCGGGACGAAAGACGGCACAGGCCACTGCCCATAACAAACACTGCTTGCTGCCCCGAGCCTTCCACCTGCCAGGCCCTGCTGAGGCTTCTGGACCTCTGGTGCCAGCACCATTGCAGTGCTGCATTGAGACTAGCTGTCATACTTCCTCCTCCACAGGAGGTGGCGCTGTGCCCGGGGTAAGGGTTTTAGCACTTTCTGCAGAGTCAACGCAGTGATGTGAGTGACTGATCCTAGGAGGTGCAATTGTAAAAATGCATCAAAACCCAACCACCACCCAGCCAGGAAATGAGCGTTTAGATGGGTGCTACAGAACACCCTGGGATTAATTCAACGCTCATCTGAACTCCACTAGCCTTCAGACTCCCTGAGCAAACGACAGTATTTTGCATGCCCACTCCTCAAAAAACCCGCTGGGGCTCTCGAACAAAGGGGTTCTCCCCACCCTCTAGGCATTGCCACAGCTACCTCGCCAATGGCCTGGATACAACTTCAGTGCTACTCCCAAAGCAGGCAGAGGGGTCGCTCAAGTCCAAAGCAGCGTGAGAGATCCCCCCCAGCACAGGGATTAAATGCCTGGATGCTGAAGCTAAACAGTCGGACTGGAAAGGCGGCACATTTTTGACAGAGAGGGTAATTAACCATTGGAATAACTTGTCATGGCGGAGTCTCCATCACTGACAATTTTACAATCGAGATGGGATGTTTTTCTCTGAGATCTGCTCTCGGAATTAGTTTAGGGACATTCTCTGGCCTGTGTTATACAGGACGTCAGACCAGAGGATAACAATGGTCCCTTCTGGCCGGGAAATCGATGGAAGAGTGAGACGTAGACCTTGCCCCCGCGGGACACTATACTGCTGCTCTACTAGACACGCCCAGAACTAGCCTGCTCGCTGAATTTTCAGGGGTAGCTCTGGGATGACGGACCGAGCGCACACTGGGGGCATTTTCCCCCTGGCTCACTGCAGGATCTTGACCGCCCCAGAAGAGTCTATAAATAAAAATAGCCAGAGGCCAATGTTTTCAAAAGCCGCATTGATGGAGGTGCCTGGATTTCGGAGACCCTGCGGGGGCGGATTCTCATTGGCGCTGAGCACCTGCAGCTCCGAGTAAGTCACTGAGAGCTGCGGGTATTAGCACTTCGGCAAACCTGGCCTAAAATGCAGGCAATCGACGGCCACTTTGGAAAGTTTGGGCCGTAGAGAAAATTCCAGCCTGTGGGGCCCACAGTCAGGCACCTCCCACCGGCACTGCGTCCCCTTTAAAAAGGGACAGAAGTAACCCCTTCCTCCTCTTCCCTAGTGGTCTCTCCCAGTGACCTGGCTTCAGAAATCTGCATGGGTGAGCGGGATCGGTGCTCACAGCACACGATGCTCCCTGATTTATCATGAAATCCTTCAGTCCTGCTGTTTTTGCAGTTTCATCCCCTTGTTACTCTGCAGCAACAAAGCTGGGGCTCCGCTGTGAACCTGGCCTTGATAACGGCACCAAAGCTCCCTTTCATGCCACCCCACAGGAGAGGGATGAAAGGAGGGGCCTGCAGGGGGTCGCCCCATAAAAGCGGCGAGATTGGAAACGCGGCAGCACGATGGAGCCCGGGCTGGGGGAGAGCTGCCTTGAGAGCTTTCCGCTGGTGCTTGTGCACTCAATAACCAACTTAAAGCGACGCTTGGGAATCGGAACCAGGTTCCACTGGAAAGAACGCTCGTGCCTGCAGATCCGGATCAAACAAGGAGCCATCTTCACTGGGGGCAATGGCAAAAGGATGCTGCCAGCGACTGTGCCGTCAATCAGAAATCCACCACAAGTACCCGCCTGGGACCAGATCCTGATCCCAGTTACACTGGTGCAAATCTGGAGTCGCCGCAGAGCACGGTGCTGTAATATAGTCAACAGCCACTTCCCTACCTGCAGAGTCCAGGCCAGAATTTAGGGAGACCCCATGTGATCAGGCAGCACAGGCTACGTTTAGTTTCTGGAATTGGGAGCCAGAGAAAACCACTGGGTTTTGTCCACGCTCAGTGGCCTAAATAAAGAGTCCCCGGCATGTTCATCACAACCGAGCCCAGGCTCTTGTCTAGCACCCGGGCCAGGGCAGTGGGCATTTGGGGGATTTAACCTCTCAGCAAAATGCTTGATTCCCACAGCCTCCCCCATCCCCACCAGCTGGCACTTGGAGGCTGCTTTCCAGCAGGATTACAACAGCGCTAAAGTAAGTCCCTGCCTGGCCTTAAACTACCTGACCATGTCGCTTTAACATTCCCACGAGGGACGTTCTAATTTCAGATCTACGCAGGGAGCTCCACCCCAGCAAGTCAACGCGCTGGTGGAGGGCTGCCTAGAGCTCTCGGCAATCAGGGATGTGGCTTCAGTTGGCCAAAGGAGAAGGGGGGTCTCTAGACCATGATAAGCCCACGCGTCTTTTCTGCTGCAGCACTCCTAACCCACCTGGCTCAGCGGCCACGAGCAGGACCCAAACCCAGATCCCATGAGTGGCAACACAGGGGGCTGTCACTAGACCATCATGCTGGCCCAGACATTTCTCCTTCCCTAGGATGGACATCTAGCGCCATACAAACAGCACGTCTGACGCTGGGATAGTAAATACACTGCCACGAAGGCCTTCCATACACATCACAATTACAGGCCTTTTCTCAAGGCCACAGGGCTTCAGCGCACACAGCTTTGCTAGGTGTCTCCATCTCTCTCCAAACCTCCCTCCCAAAGAAACTTGGAGGGACCTCTCCTAGCGAGAGAGGCGACGCGTACCTGCTCCGAGCCCGGAGGAAACGTGTCCTGGCTTCTCGTGATCATCCTGTGGGGAGACGTGGGCACCAGTGGGGCTCGGTCCGAGCGTGCCTCTGTGGGCGTGGTGGGAGTGCTGCTGAATCCAAAGGAAGAGTCCAATTCGAGCATGGAAGACTCAATCTGATGGAAACCCCACAGCCCCACCTTCCTCATGCAGCGGGAACACGTGATCACCGGGAGGTGCATGGACCCTGACGAAGGGCTGTGTGTTGGAGGCAGGGTAGAGTGGGGTGAGGAGAGAAAGTCAGGAACAAATCTAGGCACTTCCTCAAAATGGATACTGATTATTAGAACAGACAGACGTATTTGATGGACTAAACATTTAGTTCAGTGTTCCCCAAACTTCTGAAAGCTGAGCTCCCACTTCCGGGAAACCAATCACACCCCCCCGCCATGCACTGTTAAAAGTCTACACATTTTAATCTATACACCAACCTACACACACCCCTCAGTTAGCTCTTTGCATGGTCCTTCGTTACCTTTCTTTCATGCTTTGATGAGTAGTGAAATAATCAACAGTGTTGACGTTTATTTGAAATAGCACCATTGGCATCTAAACCAGCATCATTGGCATCTAAGTTAATGGGGCAGTTGACAGCTCAGAGCTATTGTTTCAGGCTCTCTGCAAACTCAGGCAGATGTCTATCTCTGCATCAGTTACTTCACTTCATGGTTTTGGAGGTTTTCTTTGCAACCACAGCAGCTAGAGCAGGGGTGGGCAAACTTTTTGGCCTAAGGGCCACATTGGGGTTGCAAAACTGTATGGAGGGCCGGGTAGGGAAGGCTGTGCCTCCCCAAACAGCCTGACCCCGCCCCCATCTGACCCCTCCCACTTCCCACCGCGACTGCTCCCCTCAGAACCCCCGACACATCCAACCCCCCTTGCTCCTTGTCCCCTGACCGCCCCCTCCTGGACCCCCCACCCATCCAACCCCCCTGCTCCCAGTCCCCTGACTGCCCTGACCCTTATCCACACCCCCGCCCCTGACAGGCCCCCGAGACCCCACACCTATCCAACCCCCCCCCCCGTTCCCCATCCCCCATCCACACCCCTGACAGGCCCCCCGGGACTCCCATGTTTATCCAACCCCCCACCTGTTCCCTGACCACCCCCCAGAACCTCTGCCCCATCCAACCGCCTCCTGCTCCCTGTCCCCCGGGACCCTCCGCCCCTTATCCAACCCCTCGGCCCCAGCCCCCTTACCATGCTGCTCAGAGCAGCATGTCTGGCAGCCGCACCGCCCGGAGCCAGACACACTGCCGCGCTGCTCGGCAGGAGTGCACAACCCTGACACCCAGAGCGCTGCCCGCATGGCGGCGTGGCTGCGGGGGAGGAGGGACAGCGGGGGAGGGGCCGGTGGCAAGCCTTCCCAGCCAGAAGCTCAAGGGCCTGGCAGGACACGGCCCGCGGGCCGTAGTTTGCCCACCTCTGAGCTAGAGGCTGACACTTTTTAAAGACTGGAAGCTCAGGCCCTAGAGAGGCAATATTGGAGAGGACAGTCCTTTGTGCTCCAGCCCCCTCAGTTTCTGACAGGTTTCATAGCAAATTTTAGCGAAGTGCTATCTACATTTTGAAGCGTGTGTCTGATATTTACAAACAGCATTTTAGCTTTCACCGTCCGAGATTAGTCGCCTACTGACCTGTAAGCCCAGCCGCAGAGGGCCAGGATGCAGGCGGGGACATGTACTTGAAAGAGGTCAGAGCCCAATTTCATTGGTGTTTTCTCCCCTTCGGTTTTGCACTCGAGTTCCTCCTCGATCAGATGCAGGAGAAGGCTGATTTTATCTTCTGTCAAGGACTGCAAAGGACACATGACTCAGTCACGGTCTGGGAGGGTCAGGAGCCATGCTTGGGCTCCCTCAAACAGAGTTCCAATACACGGGGCACACGTGGAGCAAAGACTGTCTCTAGTTGTATGGCACCTAGCACAGCGGGGCTCTGATCTCAGCACTACTGTACTACAAATAAATGATTACAATGTTGCAATCAGGAAAGTGGCTATGGGAAAAAATGTCACCTTCTTCCTCTTCAGATGGGTTCCCTGGGTGTTTTCAGAATCCGGGCTGCTGACGTTAGCGACTGTTGTAAGGTTCTACTCCTCTTAGCTCTTCAGAACCAACACAGAGAGGGGGATGGATTCTATCCTGCCTCATGCACGAGCAACAGAATCATGAACTAAGTTCTGATCGCCGGACTAACCTCCACCCCCCAGAAGGCCGCACAGGAGAAATGGAAAGTGGAATGTGGCCTGCAGAATCTTCGTTACTGGTGAGGATGCAGGAGCCAGAATGAACCCAGCTTGACTCTCAGATCCCAAAGGGCGGGGGCAATGTGTGTGTGTGTGTAAACTGAGCACATTGATGGGGAATCACTGAGACACAATGAGGAAGGAGCCTCAGGGTCCCATTGTCGGGGAGGCCCTTTTCAGAACAGAACATTAGGAAGGACACAGATGGGATACAGAAATGTGTTCAGTGCCCATTGCCTTGGCAACACCTATTGCCCACGCCCCTTATGGCTTTTAAACCTAAGCCAATATATATGCTATCCATGGAGGTAGCTAAGTCAACCATCTCCACTGTTATTCCTTTACAACCAACTGATGAACCCTTGGTTCCAGCAAATAAGTCCCACCCTGGTGTCATACTGAGAGACAACCAAACACCTGACTATAGCAATGGGCCTTGGTACATGGCTGATGGGCACTAGACCCAGTGCTCTGGGCAACCATTAGAAGATGAGAGTTTATAGGCTGCGACTTTCTGGTCGCTCTATCTTACAATCACCTTGCAGCTAACGAGACAAGGCTGGTGGCTACTTCCTGCTCAGGACACCTCACTGATTAATGTGAGTAACTGTTAATGAGGTGAGGGTCTGCTGGTAGGGCTGGCCTCCTTCCCTCTGCAGCTAAGGGCATGCTGTACAAAAAGGAGTCCACCGTCTCCTTCCCATGGAGCGTTTTTCCACATGAAGCAGTGGGAACCCGAGGCTGCTGACATCTTTATGCACATTTGCAACATTGGGACATGTAAACCCACTTTCGGGGGCTGCCTCCCCAAACTGTGCAATTACTGGACACAATTTTGAAAACCGTCTTTAAAAAACCTTAGGAAATTCCACACCAAAACCTGTTAGGAGAACGTTGCGGTTGCAAAATTAAGCGCTCAAACATCAGCGAGCACCTCAGGTTACTCATGCAGACTATTAAAACTGTAGGACGATGCATGCGCAAGGGGCAGAGCTAAGGTTACCCAGGCAATTGTCACTTTAGCCTTCCTTGGCTTCTGGCGTCTCAACCTTACTGTCATTTTTATATGGATTTAGATAGTGCCTGGCATGTCAGGCATCTTCATCTGACCCTTCCCACTTTTCCCAATGGTGAGCACGAACTCACCATATTTTTCAGATCCTCTGGTTTCAGGGAGGGCAGCTGAAGTTCTAGCTGACACAGGCTTTGAAAGCGATCCAGGAAGTCACTGACAAGGGCTATGGGCTCGCCAACCAGTAAAACAGCAAAGCGATCTATTAGGAAGCAAAAAGCAGGAGGCTTCAGTTTCGATGCAGATCCCTGCCCTCTTGTCATTTCACAGAGGGGGAGAGAGAGAACAGGCATCAGTGATGCCAAATTAAAAATAAGGGTCTTCCTGCCATTAAAAGGCCAAGCACAAAAAGGAGCATGGACCTACTGTTTTGTTCTTTTCAGGTCACCTTTAAGCCTGATCCATTGCTGAAACGTGGCTCAACTTCCTAGTGAAGTGAGGGCTGTAAAAAAGATAAATTCTCTAACCCTTTACACATGCCCTAAGTCATGCAATCCCCTCCACATCCCGATTAGAGTTTTTAACAGTCATCTCTCTCCGTAAAAAGGGACTGTAACAACCTCGTAGGTAGGTGCTACTGAAGGCAATGCTATGAGAAGGCCAATACGAAAGGAGAGGGCAGTAAGACTAGAAAGGAAGAAAGAGCATATTCTTGGACTGTTGCCCAGGTTGGACTGAGTGACACCTACCTGGGCAGGGGCTGTCTGGCCAGAAACAGAACTTCTCATGGGCAGTACACAAAGCTTTCTTCAGCACCGCACACCTCTCCTTGTCTGAAAGGCAAACAGCACTGCAAGCTAGGTAGCAGCGGAATAATCTTCCACAGGAAGCCTGTGGGACATTTCAATCTAGTTGGACAAAGCTCAGGAGAAGACCCCGCGCTGGCAGAGGGATGGCTGGAGGAGAGCTAACGGGGTGTCCATAGCTCTAATGTCTAAGGTGGTGTCATTTTGACTGATATTTGCATGGATGGCTGCATACAAATCTGCCCTGCAGAAACCCTGAAAAGTTACTGACTGCAGATGTTAACGTCTCATCTTAAACCACCTCCCGTTCCCTTCCCCTGGTCCTATAGCGGAACCCCATCCCGTTGGGGGCAGACTGCCTCATGCGCTCTGCCCCACCAGCTCTTCTTCCCTGCAGATAACTCTATTGGGCCCCACACTCATTTCTCCCCGCCCTGTCTTACCTTCATCCTTGCTCTCTCTTCCCACACTGGTTCATGCTCTGAGGGAGCAGTCAGGAACCAGCAGCAGTGGGGAGCAGGGCAGGTTACGAGGGAAAGAAGGGGACATTCTCAGCCAGGCAAAACCTATTCCACCTCCCTGCAGCCACAAACCCTCCTACTCCTTGGCACATTGCTCCCAAGTGGTCACCATGAAACCATAGGCGTTTGCCAACGTCCAGGTGATGGGGACTTGGCTAAGGATACATTTAATTCTCCTTTTAAGTTGATCGAACCCCTCCCCCTCTCCTGCCCACAGAACCAAATCATTTAGTAATAAAATGAAAAAATTCTACCCTGTGCTTTGATCGCCTCAGGTTACTTAGATTGTAAACTCTGTGGGGCAGGGATCACCTGTTTGGTCTGTGTTTGTACAGCGCCTAGCACCGTTGGAGACGCTACAGTAATACAAAGAATATATGATTCTAAGCAGGTACTATTATCAATACTTTAAGTAGCTACTGGTCAAATTAATGTAACTATTTAATTAACAAGGAGGGGTCAACAGTCTGAATGAAACTGAAAAAAAAATAAATAAAGGGCCTAAAAGAGATGCATGATAAAACACAACCACAAGTTGCCTCAATCAGACATCATTAGTAATCCAAGTGTTGGTATGTGTTATGCAAACAATGATATGCCCCCTAGTGGACATGCAAATAACAAGATCAGTTACTTATTTAAAGCAAAGTAATATGAATGGATAAATTATTGTTATTTATCACACGCTGATGTATTCATCTCCACAGTAGACACAAAAAGGAGAGAGAATCACTGGCCAGAAGCGTTTGCTTGACCAAAAGAAGCAGAAAGCTCCAGTTTCAATTGCGGGTGTGGGTTAATATGGTCTCCAGGCAAAGGAATGTACAGGGAAGGAAAGCAAGTTAAAGGGCGGTGAAACCATCGTACTCCAAGGCTAAGGGGAAAAACTTGAGATTGGTTGCTAGACTAGAAAAAACAACATAAAGTGAACATAACAGGTAGAGAGAGTTTAACTGCTAACAATTCCCCATAAATTCTTTGTTACAAAGGAAATGCCAGACTGGCTCAGAGCAGAGGCCCATTATTATTTGTATGGCCATAGCATCTAGGAGCCCGACGCAAGGACCAGGATACCTTTGTGCTAGGCGCTGTCCAAGCACAGAACAAAAAGATCGTCCCTGCAGTAGTCAGTTACCAGCTGCTTCAGGAGATGGTGCAAGAAACCCTGCAGTGGAATAACCTGCCCCCCCGGGAAATCTCTTCCCAGCCCCTGGTAGTAGAGCTCAGTTGATGCCCTCAAGCAGGAGGTTTTATGACCTTTAAAACCCAAGGGTGTTCTTAAACTTGGGTGCATGAACTTAAACATGCTAAACAAGCGGCTCCATTTTCAGAGAGGCCCCAGCTTCCAGAGAAAATACCAAATGTAAATGCCCAAGTATGAATTTAGGTGCCTGCTCTAGGCCCTTTGCTGTGAAATCTGTAGTTTTATTTCCAGATTAGGAACAAAGCGATCAGCCGCATGGAGAGACTGTTGTACGTACACTTGTTGAAGTCAAATGCCAGCTGCAAACTTGCACAGAGGAAGGCCTGGCAGCTGGAGCACTTCAGCATGTCACTCTCTATATTGGTCCATCCATATTTGGCACATATCAGGGGGGACAGCTCATGAGGTTTGCCTGCCCACTTCAAAGAGTGCTCATGTTAAGGACAACAATACAGAGACATCACAACCTATATTCAGCGAAATACTTGGGCCAACCAAACAATTCACCTGGGTCTTTATTGAAAGACACCGTTTCCACCTTTTAAGAAACGGAGTGGCTGGGTGAAGAGACACGCATGGGGACTGACTGCCAGGAGAAATTCTGGGTTGATTTTTGGCGGGAGTGTAGGGGTAGGTCGGCTTTTGATACAGAAAGCTCAGCACCAAAAAGGATATAGTAAACGTTTCTACTCTGCTGAAGAAGGCTTCTTTACTAGTTGTCTCAAAAGGAAGAGCATCTGTTTGCGAAGAGCCATTAGTTGATTCTGATAATGCAGATGTGTCCTTTCTAAAATAAAGCAACAGGTCAGCAAGCAAAGGCCCTTTGCCCTCTGTGTAAAGATTTCATTAACGTTCTAGAAAAATGCATATTACAGCAATGAGTCCACAACACCTCTACCAATCTCACCCTTCAAGCTTAACCTCCAAACAAATTTCTTCCATAAGCCCTACAAACCCCAGATTCTAAGAAGGGTTAACGAAACAAAGGCCAATTAAGAGAAAACGGAACAAAGATGTACACTAAACATCAGCGCTCAATCTCCTGACACTGATCAGTAATAGCTGGTGATATGCATTTGCCATGAGGGTTCCCCCACCTCTTTCCCAAATCTGGTGAAGTAATATGGAAAACGGATACGAAATCTGAGAACTTTGCAATGGAGCAGCATGATTCAGTGCCTTAAATTGCAGCAAGGGAGGTTTAGGTTGGACATTAGGAAAAACTTTCTATCAGGATAGTTAAGCACTGGCACAAATTGCCTAAGGAGACCGGGGCATCTCCACCATTGGAATTTTTAAGAACAGGTTAGACAAATATCCGTCAGGAATGGTCTAGCTCAGTGGTTCTCAAACTTTTGTACTGGTGACCCCTTTCACATAGCAAGATTCTGAGTGTAACCCCCCCACTTATCAATTAAAAACACTCGTTTAGATATTTAACACTATTATAAATGCTGGAGGAAAAGTGGGGTTTGGGGTGGAGGCTGACAGCTCACAACCCCCCATGTAATAACCTCATGAGCCCCTGAGGGGTCCCAATCCCCAGTTTGAGAACCCCTGGTCTTAGCTACTACATAGTCTTGCCTTGAGTGCAGGGGACTGGACTAGATAACCTCTCAACCTCAACCCTTCCAGTCCCACAGTTCTATGATTCTATGACAGGGCACAAGACTGTGAGCAAGACGACATTGTTCTCTTCCCATCTCGAGGCTACATTAGCTTCTGGGGTGAAAAAGAGACTGTGAGGAACTGTTAAAGAAAAAGTGTGAATTTCTTATTTACTATTTCCTTATGGTAGCACCCAGAGGCCTCCCTGTGCTGCTTTTGACACCACCAATAACGCCCTCCTTAAAACCTTGTGCTCTGTTGGCTTCTATAACTCTGTCCTCCCCTGGTTCTCCTCCTATTTCTCTATTTTTTCCTTTCGACATCTCTTTTGGTAGGTCTTCCTCCTCCCCTCTCCATGTGAGAGTCCCCCCTTGTCTTGTCCTCTTCTCCCTCTAGATCTTCTTGCTAGATGGTTTCAACCACCAACTTTTCACTAATGAATTACAAACCTTTTTCTTCGTTTGTGAGCCTCCATCCAATTCCACATCAGAGCCTGGTACATAGACTTCACCTCCCTGATACGTTGCTGTCAATTTTAAATTAACTTTTGGCCAAACCTGGACTTTTAATATCCTCTCTGAAACCTTCCCCACTCCACCCATTCTTGGTCACCTTTAAAAAATACCACAACCCTCCATGTCACCCCAGCCAAAAAACTTGGGGGCCATCTTCAGCTCCTACACTTCCTCACCACTCATAACCGGGGCTGTGCTCAAGTCTAGCCACACAGGGAGTCAATTTTGATTCACAATGGGAAAAGAAATCCACTTGAGAGTCAGCTGCTGTAAACACAAAGGCTTGTGCAAACTGGACCCAGTGGTGAGCTGGAGCCAGTTCGCACCAGTTCGCAAGAATGGGTTGTTAAATTTAGAAGTCGGTGTAGAACTGGTTGTTAAAGGGGCCGGTGGGTGAGACCGTCCCAGCTGGGGAGGCTCCCCCGCCCCCTCGCCGAGCCCCAGCGCACTGCGCCGCTGGCGCCAGCACTCTGGGCAGCTCTGCAGCTCCTGCCACTTTGAACAGCATAGTAAGGGAGCCAGGGTTGGGAGGAGGGGTTGGATAAGGGGCAGGGAGTGGTTGGAGGGGGCAGAGGTTCTGGGGGCGGGCGGGCAGGAGACAGGGAACAGGGGGGTTGGGTAGGTGTGGGAGTTCCAGGGGTCTGTCGGGGTGGTGGTGGATGGGGTTGGGGCAGTCAGGGGACAGGGAACGGGGCGAGTTGGGTAGGGGGTGGGGTCCTGGGGGGCCGTTAGGGTGGGGGGTCCCAGGAGGGATGTGTGTCAGAAGACAGGGAGCGGGGCGAGTTGGGTAGGGGGTGGATCAGATGGTGGGGGGGAAGACAGGCACGTGGGGCTTGTACTCACTGCGCGGTTCCCTACCAGGTCTTCAGCGGCATTTCGGCGATGTGGGAGAAGGGGTCTTCACTCGCTCCGGGTAAAGGACCTGCCGCCGAAATGCCGCCGAAATCCCGGAGTGAGTGAAGGCCCCCCCCGCCGAAGTGCTGCCGAGGCCCCGGTAGGGAACCGGTTCTTAGGATTTTGGGAGCTCATCACCGACTGGACCCAACCACGGGGCTGTGCTGACAACGTGGCAGCTACAATAGGGCCCATCGCAAGGCAAACACCGGCCTCCTCCGAGATGCCGGGGCCGAACGGGCAGCCGCCTGCCTTTGGCCAGGCAAACAACGCTCCTAAAGCCTCGGCCAGGTCCATCGCCCTCCCCCCGACCGCGAGCGACTGGACCGCCCGGGGGCCTCACTCCAGCCCGGCTTGAGAGGGACACTCGCCTGTCTGGGCCCATGTGGCCGCAACGGTGCCCACGCTGGGGGCCTGGCGGACCCTGTGTGGGGCTGAACCCCCGCCCCCGCCACTGGGCCCAACGCAGGTGCCCAGGGGGGTAACCAGGGAGATGACCCCACCCCAGATAGCACCGCG